GCAGCGTCCCACCTTGACGGACCGGGGCTGCGATTTCCAGGCTTTCTGGACTGCGGAAGAATGTGCACCGAACTGGGTGCAGGGTTCATGACTGTGGACTCGGAACCAGAAGCTTTGTGGGTTCAACTTCCAGGCGAGACACTGCAGTTGGACCCCTGAGCAAAGAACTTCACCGACATTGCTCCAGTAATATTTATACACCTGTCCAGCTAAGTGACTATAAAGAAGGGGTGTGTGAAGAGGGGAAGGAGTTACCGATGGAACACTCATCCATATCCTGGTCGCAGGCCCCTCCGAAAAAGCCTGGGGGACAGGTGCAGATGGCGCGGCCGTTCAGCGGGTTGGTGTCGCACACCGCGCCCTCGTTACAGGGGTTACTGACGCAGGCGTCGTCCAGGTGGCACAGCAGACCTGCGCAGAGGGACAGGGGGCAGCGTCAGCGACAGCAAGAACTAAAAGAAGGATCACCTGCCCGAGCGAGACAAGACCCAGAGGGAGGGAACCCATCCTCTCGGAGGAGCGAGAGTGAGCGAAGTGAAGAGATAGGGACAACGTGGACGGGGAACAGACAGAGGAGGAACAATCACAGGAGAAGGGACACAGGGGAAGGCAGGCAGGCAGGCTGAATGACACTGGGACAGACAGACACAGCACCAGACAGATAGACCGACCCAGGACAGGAAGTGTGACACCGGGACAGATGGGTGGACTGACGGACACTGGGACAGACAGGGGTGGACAGAGAGTAGTGGACAGACACTGGGACAGGGAGACAGACAGAATGGCAGACACTGGCCAGAGACCCAGAGACAGACAGACAGGAGTGGACAGACAGACACTGGGACAGGGAGACAGACCCAGAGACAGACAGACAGACGGGAGAGGACAGACAGACACTGGGACAGATCGATTGACTGTCAGACACTGGGACAGACAGACCCAGTGAGACGGACCCAGAGACAGACAGACACTAGGGCAGACACACAGACCCAGAGACAGATAGACGGGAGTGGACAGTCAGACACTGGGCCAGACAAGAGGTGCAGGCTGTACCTGTCTTGCCCACAGGGCACTCGCAGTAGAAGGAGGCCACGCGGTCGTGGCAGGTGGCGCCGTTGAAGCAGACGGCGGTGGCGCAGTCGTCGATGTTCTCGCTGCAGTCCTCGCCCGTCCAGCCATTGACGCAGACGCAGGTGTGCCCCCCGATGGTGTTGAAGCAGGTGCCCCCGTTGTGGCAGGCGTTGGGCTGCATGAGGCACTCGTTCACATCCTCCGCGCAGTACTGCCCTGCAAACACATGCAGCACCCCGTCAGGGTGTCTGCTTCGGACCAGAACCACCAGCGGTCCAACAAAACCAGACTGTCCCGACGGGTCTCCTCTCACGCGTGACCTGTTCTGTCCTGCAAGGTTCTGGGACCATCAGCCTCTCCCTCTGCACACAACACAGCGAGGATAGCAGAAGCACCAGACAGAACTTCTCACGCCCATATGGGCAGCTTTTCAGAGTTCTGCTTCTAAAAGCCTTTTTAACAAGTCTTACAGAGAGGGGAAGGGAGGCCAGCAGTAATTTGGAAAATCCCTCTTAACTAGCAGAATATTTCAG